AGCGGCGTAAAATTATACTCACTCACTCACATATAACCAGGACGACAGTAGCACTCTTTCTAGACATAATCGTGTACCTAGCATGGTTCCACCACCAAAGGTCTGGTTAAGTTATTCCAGAAATATTATGGTGACGTTCAGAGGAATTTACTAAATATGACAGTCGCCTGTCAACACGATGCGTGATGCTATCCCCTACTGTGACCTTTACATGGAGTTGTCACCCCTCCTTACTCACTGGTATTTGTAAAATGGCCTGGCTTTCAGATAATGTTTTTAGCCACTGAGTACTAGTATTAACTCATAAGGGGCGGTCGGTTAGCCTAGTGGTTAAAGCGTTCGCTCGTCACGCCGAGGACCCGGGTTCGATTCCCGACATGGGTACAATGTGTGAAGCCCATTTCTGGTGTCCCCCGCCGTGATATTGCTGGAATATTGCTTAAAGCGGCGTAAAACCATACTCACTCACATGTCATAATTTACTTTGGGTATTGATATTTCGATTCTGGTCCATAACTTGATTGTCTAGTTTGTGCAGCCATCAGGTTTGTTTGTTTGTTGTTTAATGCTGCAGCAATATTCCAGCTATATGACGGCGGTCTGTAAATAATCGAGTCTGGACCAGACAATCCAGTGATTTACATCATGAAAATCAATCCACGCAATTGGGAACGATGACATGCATCAACCAAGTCGGCGAGCCTGACCACCCGATCCCGTTAGTCGCCTTTTACGACAAGCATAGTCGGCTTTTACGGCAAGCATGGGTTGCTGAAGACCTATTCTACCCCGGATCTTCACGGGTCTCGCTGGCGTTGACATATTGACGCTGGGGACATCTTCTGGCCGAAACCCCAACGTTGTGTGGAAGACGTTATGGCAAGAACGTCATATACAACAACAAACAACGGGTGACATGTTTAATTCCGTAGTGTTTCCACTGTGGGAGGGATGCAAATACAGTGTGAAGACAGAAGGAAGGATACAATGGTTCTTAGGGACATCGAGATACACGCAGGACCCATAGTTTTACGATGCATCTCGACTCTCATGTCGGCGATAGCCAAGGTGCATTGCTGACGTTATGACGCCCCGGAGATTACTACAACACGCTGTAGCAATCTGACGTGCTAAACCAACCATGACTGAAATATAATACAAGAACTCAGGCAAGCTGTTCTCGTAATGACGCTGCCGTACATTATTGGTTATTGCTGAATACCTCTGTACAATCTTTTGTAACAATACTTGGAGAATTAACAATCTTCGGCAGTTGACCTACCCGGTCTAATTTAAATGTCCCTCATTTAGCATGTCCTACCTTGATGCCGTGCAAGTTAGATAACATGTCAAGCGGGGGAAGTTTGCAAGAAACGTAATGTCTATCACCATCTAAAATTATCATATGGAAAATATTTCTGATTAATAGTTCTTATAAAGATTCTGCTTTACGTGTTTTTAATCAACAAAAACTGTTTACCACAATAGAACAAGAAGACAAAGTCGTAGATATCCTCACCCTTTAAACATGTGCAAATGTGTGTCATATACCACAAAAGGTTAAGCTGAAAGCTTTGTGGATACAACTGATAATAGATTACTGAACAAAATGATTCCAGCGATTCTTTAAATACTTTCAATATATTTAAAGGACGTTACCCGGTCTAATTTAAATGTCCCTCATTTAGCATGTCCTACCTTGATGCCGTGCAAGTGAGATAACATGTCAAGCGGGGGAAGTTTGCAAGAAACGTAATGTCTATCACCATCTAAAATTATCATATGGAAAATGTTTCTGATTAATATTTCTTATAAAGATTCTGTTGTACATGTTTTTAATCAACAAAAACTGTTTACCACAATAGAACAAGAAGACAAAGTCGTAGATATCCTCACCCTTTAAACATGTGCAAATGTGTGTCATATACCACAAAAGGTTAAGCTGAAAGCTTGTGGATACAACTGATAATAGATTACTGAACAAAATGATTCCAGCGATTCTTTAAATACTTTCAATATATTTAAAGGACGTTAATAGTAATACTGTCAAAAGTCAGAGCTTTTAGAAAATGTTTAAAACTCTAAATCATAATTAATAATTTAGCAACAGCGAAACAATTCCTGAATTCCTGAAGCTATGCTTATGTTTTAGTACACACTGCATAATGAGCAACACCCCCCTCTGTCCGGGTACAGTGTCACACAATCAACCAAGTCGTCAAGTCCTGTCCATCCGATTCATTTACTCGCCGTTCAAAACAATCCTGGGTTGGTTGCTACACGGGGACCTATTTCAGCATGGATTTTCAAACGGATTTCATCAAGTAATATTGTCTTGTTTATGAGATGCTCATTCGTTCTTGCCATAGAAACACATAAACTATACATGTACCTATCTGAATAGCAAAAGGCAGCAAATCGGCTCGTGCGTGATGTGTATACAGTTGTACAAATAAATGCGAAACAGTTTATGAGTTATGCCCTGGAAAAAATCTCTTCCCTCATTTGAACCTGTCTAACTTGTTGCCTTGAAACACATCAAAATAAAAAATAAAACATTTCTGAATAGCACAAGACACTAGTTCAGTGCATGTCTGATGTCTATACAGGTATCATGTTCCAAATATGGAATGGTTTATGACTTATGCTCTGGAAACGAAACGACACGTGACGGGCGGATACCGTGTCAATATAGCCCGTTCCTACTTGTTGGGGTGGGAGATAAAAAGTGATAAAATAAGATATACATAAAAACAGTCACTATTGATGTTAAACGTATCACGAAATGAGTGAGTGAGTGAATCCTGTTTAACACCGCTTTTAACAGTATCCTGGCTATATCACTGTGTGTCAGCTTAATGCGGGAGGAAAGCCCCAAGTGATGCAGGTCTTTCACGTTTACCACTTCAGTGAAGCCCACGAGTACGGCATGGTCTGACAAACCTAGAAACAAAATCGAGGCGAACCGGGATTCGAACCTACAATCATAGGTTACTGGCGTGCCCAAGGGACGCAACTCTGCACAGCGAATTGCGGCGCCTTCGACGAGTTGGCCACCCGTGCTCCCGTATCACGATATGCAAAAACATAGTGAGTAAAGCGTATTGTAAGAAAGATACCTTCCATTCCATGCTACAAGGCAAATTTCAGTAATATCGGTCAATAAATAGATACACAAGAATGACAAAAACATAGCTTCAACAGGTAAACAGGTCGTCGTAAGACTATGTTAAAGAGGGATACAGTCGTCTGAGGCGCCGCTATTCATGTCGTACGACATTGGCATATCTGTCGATGTCAAGGATTGAACATCAGCAAGTAGTTTCACCAGTGCGAGCCCTGTTTTAACATGAATATCCTACTTGGACACAGTATACTGACTCCGAGCCGGCCAGTCCTTGTTTATTCCCTTTTAAAGACGAACGCCAGGCAGGGTAACAACAAATACCATCTTTTATGTATTTTGGTATGACGTGACCAGAGATCGAACCTCTGACCTTCCGTTCAATGGGTAGGCGCTCTATCCACTGGACCACGGAGGCGGTGCAGGTGTATGAAGATCCGGGGTATGACAGAACAAGGGCTAGTTGTCAAAAAGGGCCCTCATCCTCCCTCTATGTTCAATAAAGTAGCTCTCTAAACGAAGTCCAGTGCTTCGTGTTCTTCCTATTCGGACCCGCAACGCCAAACTAGCAAGCCAGATTTGTGCAAAGTAATACAACAACTGCATATACCAAAAGAATATCTCGAAAGACCAAACATGTTAAAATTCAAAGCACTTTGAATTGTCCAAAAATGGCCGTTGTGTATTTTGAAAATATTAAATCGTCCGATTAAACCTAAATCCGCCATCTGGCATTATACATATTCATTTGTACCGCACACTTCGGCCAGAAGGTAATAAACTCCTGTTCTGTTCTGCATTGCGTGAGTGAGTGAGTGTGATTTTACGCCGTTTTTAGCAATATTCCAGCAATATCACGGCGTGGAGAGTAAATCACGCATCTGTACATGTGTGTGCATCAATATAACTACACACAAATGACTCAAAGGCTAAAAAGAAATGCATTTGTCATGGTTCTTCCTATACACAAACGAACTGCTCGGCTTTCGGGGTTCACGTATATCACAAACGTTGATGAACCTCCAACACACAAACCATGATGGGGGATAACAAATACCATTTTTCCTCCAATAATAAAAAACTTTTCTAAGAAAGAAAAATGAACGACCATGGACGAACGGAACATTTGAATAAAAGTAAATACATCCCAACTGACATACCAGGTTCCGCCGACTATTTCATATTTTGGAGGACCTGGCATTAAAACCCAAAACAATAAATTATCCTTAGTTTTTATACAAACAAAAACCTTCTCTGAACAGGCTAAAGTTCTTGTGGGAGTCCAAAAATTAAATAGTTTGACTCCACCTTTCAGCGGGAAACGTGTTGAAAAAATAGGTTGTCTAAATAACTTCTCAGATCCCTCGTCCACCAACATCACCGCCCCCCCCCCCCCCCCCCCCCCTCTCCGGGACATCGGTGGACATTGCAGCTTCTTGATTGGTTGAGAGCCTCGATTCACACTCTAGTTACTTAAGTTCCCATAAATTTTCTGGACTTCATTGAACTTTGATCAAACAAAAGCCATTAGTAGTTTCACATTGATTCAGATGAGTTTGAAGAATTTGAAATTATCACACATCTGAAGATCTCTGGGTCATTAACGCCAGGAAAGCCCACACCATATTTATTAACTACTTGCAAGCTTGAGGAAGAGACGATTAACTCTAATTGGTAAAGTACAGTATATAAACCCTAGCAATATTCTCTTCCCGTCGCAAGAAGAATTTAGCAATAACCACAAGACAACCTCATAAATTACTATGGAATGACACAAGCGACAAAGGTACTGTGTGTAAAGTGACAAAGACACACGAAGATGGTGGACTTAGAACTCAATGAAGAAATTAAGAACGCAGCCAAATTTTCAAACTACTACTGTCTTTCAACTTATCCATTTATTTACCTTATTATCATTGTTGTCAGAACTACCCAATTCCGCAGTATGAAACAATAACCTGCAATCAATGATGTGCATCAGCATATTCACAGAACTGACAATAAAAAAGCTTAACAAAAACAATAATTGTAAAACCCAGGCACAAAAAGTCTTTGTATATATTGCATGCTGTGATGCAATCAAGCGTCTCCATACGTGGCCTTGATCCTGCCGATGACGAAGTCGTGAGAACTGACTGGGCTGTATCTCCCAGATCCATCCAAACAATTAATGACGACGTCATCATCGGGATCCACGAAAAGAACCGCCGACTGCCGACATTGCCTCTTGGTTGTCTCCTCCTCTGGGATGACGACTCGATGCACCTGAAATACAAATCTTCGTTTAAAGACACCCTGAAACATTGTTAGGCTTACATTAAAATCATCCGTGTTTTAGTACTTTGAGAAGACTCCGTGAAAATCCGGGTTAGAATTGGTTTTCAAGAACCCATGTTAATGGTGAGGGGGGACTAACGGATCCGATGATCAGGCTTGCTGACCCGGCTGATGCTTGTAAGGTATCCCAATTGAAGCCAAGTATCCGTGTATGGGATTTTTGTCAAATATATATTTACCTCCTGAAAATACAGGAAAAATAATGTGTTCTCCGGTTTTACATAAAAACCGCAGAGCCGTGAAGATCCGGGTTAGAATGGGTCTTCAGTTTGTGGTTAGAGGCGACTAACGGGATCAAGTGCTCAGGCTCGCTGACTTGGTTGATGCTTGGCATCGGATCCCAATTGTGTCGGTCGATGTTCATGATGTCAATCACTGGATTGTCTGGTCCTTACCCGATTATTTTCAGACCTCCGTCATATAACTGTGATACTGCTGAGTGCAGAGTTAAACAACAGACACCATAATTAGCACCACACACGCTGGGTGTTCCCTAAGAATCATCAGGAGCACCCTTAGACTTCAGCATCATAACTTCTCGTGCGTACGATCTCCGCGTAGGTCACGAGGACAAGCACGTATGTGATGTGACTGTAGACATTGTGGTGCTGAATTCTAAAGGTAGGCCGATCATGTATATAGATGTTGAAGGAATAACCCAGACGTACCGTTGCCTTGAGTTTGTCGGCGGTCCACCTCTGCATGAGGTCGCCAATGTTGACGACTATTGTGCCCTCTATTGGGGGTACCGAAATATAAGTCCCATCGGTAGTCATTATCTATTGAAGAGGAAGCAGCGTATTGAAGGGATGTTATGTAATTTAACAATTGATAAGAATAATTCTGTATGTATGTCCTTAGCAATATTTCACAGAGGGAGGCCTAAAAGTTGACATCACATATTGTACAATGACGGGAACCGAACTCACAGTCGGCTTGCAAACACTTCACCCGCTGGTCAATTAACAATCAGTTGTCATACATTGTTGCGAACCGATTAATGATGCAGCTTTTCAAATTATTAAATTACGTATTTTAAATCATTGTTTGGAATTGTGGCTGCATCTGTTAGATATAATAGTGAGTGGGTGAGCGAGTGAGTATGGTTTTACGCCGCTTTTAGCAATATTCCAGCAATATCACGGCGGGGGACACCAGAAATGGACTTCACACATTGCACCCATGTCGGGAATCGAACCCGGGTCTTCGGTGTGACGAGCGAACGCTTTAACCACTAGGCTACCCGACCGCCCCTGTTAGATAAAATAGTTCCTGTGCAGTCCATACATCCCCATGAGAGATTCCGATTTCCCCGCGGATCTCATTTTAAGTGGCCCACAATGACACTATCATAATACACATTTAGCCCAGTAGTTGCGAGTATTACTTATGTGTATACAAAGAGGTGATTGCCGACCGACTGACCAATCCCAATGTGAACATCAGTGCTTAGCTGACGTCTCTGTAGTCCTTGTGTGGAAATACCCACCTGTAACCCCCCGATCTTGTCTTGGATGAGCAGCGCCAGGGTGCCATAGTCTGTGTGCTCACCGCATCGCAGCTGTCCTGGTTTGATAGCTGGAAATTCACATAAATATTCAATTCAAACGCTTATTGTACGACAGGCCATCGGCCCAAGACCCGTGAAGATCCGAGGTAGAATAGGTCTTCAGCAACCCATTCTTGCCGTAAAAGGTGACTATGCTTGTCGTTAAAGGCGATTAACGGGATCGGGTGGTCAGGCTCGCTGACTTGGTTGATACATGTCATCGATCCCAATTGCGAGGATCGATGCTCATGATATTAATCACTGGAATGTCTGGTCCAGACTCGATTGTTTACAGACCGCCGTCATATAGCTGGAATATTGCTGAGTGCGGCGTTAAACAACAAACCAAACCAAACCAAAACCATCGGCCCAAATACGTGAAGTGGATACAGTACAGTACAGGGTAATTTTAGTAGAATCTAGGGCTGGGACGGGTACTCGGGTGGGTACTGAGTAGGACCCGGGTACCCACTGGACTACCCGGACCCGTGGTTAGTCACGTGATATATTGTTTAATGACAAAAAGTATCTGGAACTCTATGGTTACACTACAAGTCACAAATGTTCGCATTCCTTCTGACTATGCACCCATTTCTTCTGACCTTTCATATCTTTGAATAAAGATATAACTTGAGTCAACTTCAGTGTATGCATGGCCAGATTGTTTAATACATGTATCTAAATACGTTTTGCCAGTGCGATGTTAAAAAATGCCCAATCGGACATTTTGTACCTATCGTTTGTGACCTACAGTGTGTACCAGGGTAGGGTCGGGTAATAGGGGTGTGGGTACCCGGGTAGTAAATTCGGACTCGTCCAAGCCTTAGTAGAATCACATGTTTCATTTCTGTACATTTCTGGTCTTGGGGGTCATATTTGAAATGTAATATAACAGATTTTAAATCTTGATAATTTGAAGTTGCCATAGAGCAACAAGAAAGCATGGGGATGAGGGCCCGTGGCTGCTTGCATGAACAACTAACCAAGGCGTCAGGGTACGACGACACCATCAGTAGCAGATTTTAACCTAATTATTTCGGCTCTGACCAGAAGGATTGGTGACGAGGCAACATTTTCAGACAAGCTGATTAGTTCAGATACGATATTAGTATTTATCAACGAATGGGTGAAGAGAGGATGGAATGAGATGTAGAAACACGTGTGTCGCTTTCGCTAGGTCAGACACCCCAAAAAATCAATTCAATTTGATATCTAAGGAGAATGAATAGTATTCTCTATGGCTGCACAATTCCACACCCAGAGTATCGTTTCTATGGTCGGGTTTGCAAAATGAAGAAAATAAAGAAGGCAAACATAAGCTTTGATTTGTTTTGTTTGTTGTTTAACACCGCGTCCAGCAATATTACAGCTACATGACGGCGATCAGTAAATAATCGAGTCGGGACCAGACAATCAAGCGACTGACATCATGAGCATCCATCCACACAATTGGGATACGATGACATGCATCGACCGAGCCTGTCGACAAGATCCAGTTAGTCGCCTCTTACGACAAGTATAGTCGCAATTTTACGGCAAGCAGGCGTTGCTGGAGACTGTTTCTAACCGGGATGTTCACGGGTCACGTAAACTTTGAATACAGTCGTACCTCCAAAGGTCGTGGATAAGTAAAGACAAGGATCGATATTGAGAGCACTTTATTCCAATTCCAGTTGCTGCATATATGACAAGAACTGGGTCCTATAAAATCCTGATGTTTCCGTGCAAACATATAAACTGTTTCTCGGGATCAAAAAGTGAGTAAGTTTTGAACTGTATTTCAGTTATATGAGGGGGTGCCGGTTTCATATGGGACGTTCAACCCTTTGGTGAAACCAACGAGGACGAGTGTGTACTGACACACCTAGGAATATACCCAAACAAATCTGTGGTTTGAGCCTACTATCGATGGGTTGTGCCACGCGAAAGGGAAGCAACTCTGCACAGCGAGTTGCGGCCCCTTAGTCTCATTAAAATAACTCTCTGTGTGAAGAAGATCGATGAAAGGTCGTGTCAGATGAACTTTCTATTCAGCCAATCAGCGAAACTTCTGGGTCACAGTGAGCAAAAAGCATTCAAACATGCATTCCTGACTTCTGTATCTCGAAAACGAAGTTCAGCGGGTTTTTTTCGAATGAACATTTTATTCATTTTGTCGAATTAATCCTTTTTAGAAGGCTGTCATTCGATTGGCCATGCTTCCTTTACATGGATTGGCGCTCGCTCAGGGTTCATCAGTCGGAACCGTTCGTGTCGGAGTAGGATCTTGACGCAGAGAGGCGTCGTATCCGTGCAAAAGATCAAATTTTAATGAGATTGGCCGCGCCTTAGACGACTGGGCCACCCATGCCCCTGATCATAGGATTTCATTGTTGACTGACCGACAGTGGCTGCGCCTTAGACGACTGGGCCACCCATGCCCCTGATCATAGGATTTCATTGTCGACTGACCGACAGTGGCTGCGCCTTAGACGACTGGGCCACCCATGCCCCTGATCATAGGATTTCATTGTTGACTGACCGACAGTGGCTGCGCCTTAGACGACTGGGCCACCCATGCCCCTGATCATAGGATTTCATTGTCGACTGACCGACAGTGGCTGCGCCTTAGACGACTGGGCCACCCATGCCCCTGATCATAGGATTTCATTGTTGACTGACCGACAGTGGCTGCGCCTTAGACGACTGGGCCACCCATGCCCCTGATCATAGGATTTCATTGTCGACTGACCGACAGTGGCTGCGCCATAGACGACTGGGCCACCCATGCCCCTGATCATAGGATTTCATTGTCGACTGACCGACAGTGGCTGCGCCTTAGACGACTGGGCCACCCATGCCCCTGATCATAGGATTTCATTGTCGACTGACCGACAGTGGCTGCGCCTTAGACGACTGGGCCACCCGTGCCCCTGGATCCTAAGGTTTCACTGTAGATGATAGACAGTGGAAATTATGTCAAGTCGAAACCTATCAAGCAGTACTTACAACCATCCCCGGGTAGAGGCGGATAGTAGATGCTCCGTAGTGTTGCCGGGCTTTGCTTCCCTCCCAGACTCCGGTGCCGGCTTCGGAGATAATTCCTATCCTGCAAACAGATACCACGTGTCATGAGTGAGTAAGTGAGTTTGGTTTAACGCCGCATTTAACAGTATTCCAGTTATATCACGGCGTGTCAGCTTAATGTGGGAGGAAAGCCCGAAGTGATGCAGGTCTCAGACGTTTACCACTTCGGTGAAACCCACGAGCATGGGTATGGTGCTGACAAACCTAGAAACATAATCGGGGCGAACCGGGATTCGAACCCACAATCATAGGTTTCTGGCGCGCCCAAAGCAGCGCAACTCTGCACAGCGAATCGCGGCGCCTTAGACGACTTGGCCACCCGTGCCCCCACCACGTGTCATGAACTCTAATTTAATCATTAATTTGATGCGTGAGTTCGGAAACCTCCCAACTACTATATGGGGGACCCAGTTCTGCAGAGCGAGTTTCAATGTTGGGATGCAAATAAAGTGCCACCTGGGATACAATACCCCGATATTAAAGTTAATTAATATATACCTAATATGATATTTCTTTGCTAATGGCGTGAGTGAAAGGTGCTTCATGACGTCATAAATATTTCATCTACTAGATTGAGCGAGTGAGTATGGTTTTACGCCGCTTTAGCAATATTCCAGCAATATCACGGCGGGTACACCAGAAATGGGCTTCACACATTGTACCCATGTCGGGAATCGAACCCGGGTCTTCGGCATGACGAGCGAACTCTTTAACCACTAGGCTACCCGACCGCCGCTCATCTACTAGAATAGTGCAGCGGCTTTTGTGTGTATACGTGTCCTAGCCCTATGGGGATACTGTTCAGAAACTAGTTATAGAACCCTGTTTAACAATGGGATTCGCAATGTAAAAGATATATGTTTTGCCAATGACATTTTGGTGAACAAAAGAAACATATCACATTAAAGGAACAATATTAGAATATAATCAAATTATGCTAATATTCCAAAATCATGGAAAACAATGAAGGACAAAACATTGAATAGAATTAACCAAAGTATCATCACAACCATATGGGATTTGTTTTCACACACAAAATGTGTTACCATAAACCGTTACGTCTGCAAATCCCCCAAGCCTTGTTTGAAAAGTGGCGAAGTCAGATTAATTCAAATATTCCATGCACATGTCTATTTTCTCAATTCTGTGAGTGAGTGAGTTGGGTTTAACACCGCTTTTAATATTATTCCAGTTATATCACGGCGTGTCAGCTTAATGTGGGAGGAAAGCCTGAAGTGATGCAGGTCTCAGACGTTTACCTCAATTCTGAAAATGTACCCAAAATGTTTTTTTTCCCGCACAGATTCATGAATAGAATTACATATACTAAATGATAACAGTTGAAAGTGAAGTTAGTTGATGATGACATTTTCCCTTTTTGTGGACCAGTACAGTACCTGAACGTTTACTTCTATGTTTTGTTTGTTTGTTGTTTAACGCCCCACTCAGCAATATATCAGCTATGGACGGCGGTCTGTAAATAATGGAATCTCGACCAGACAATCCAGTGATTAATATCATGAGCATCGATCCACGTAATTGGGATCGATGACATGCTTCACCCAAGTCAGCGAGCCTGACCACCCTGAAGACCCATTCTACCCCGGATCTTCCCGGGTCTACTTCACATGTACTAGTTTTTGGAATGTAATGCTGTAAAAAAATATTAACTTGCACTTTTTTTGTAAACATAATTTGACGAAAATAGATTTAGCCGTAATCCAAACATTTTACTTTTAAATCTGTTTGCCAAATAACATGTACATGTACCCAGCATCAACAAAATATCCTGTCACTGGATGCATTCATTACAGTGTAAACAGATGTATGACGGTAAAACATGTAGAGCTGTTAAGGATTATCTCCTGACCAAATCAGCGATAATGGAAACCCATGAACAATTGTTTGCTATCTGAAGCTAAGATTTCAACACAATAAAACATCAGTATGGTAAATTTTAATTTGACAAGTCTTTAACCGTCTTCTATGTATTTTATGTGCGCTTCGCTTCACTGGCCAACCTTTAATCTTATGAAGAACCCTGAAAAGTTCAGTGTTGACAAGGACAACTGCAGAGGGAGTCAACGAGGGAAATGCAAAACTCCTTTGTCGTTCATTTATGGAACGCAAAATATGACTGTTAAATTAGCGTGGCAATAAGATGTTTTAATCATTTTGCTTACGGATTCACCCACCCATTTCGGGCGATTATGAAATGTCTGTTTTTCTTTCCGAGGTAAATTTCCGAACTTTTCGCCTAAATTGGTTGGTTGTTTTGTAGTTTAACGCCGCACTCAGCAATATTCCAGCTGTATGACGGTGCCTAAATTGGAAGCAAATTAACACTTCGACTTGGCATTTCGAAAAAAAACCGTTTTCATTTTATTTCAGAAATTACCATGAGGAATGTTTCTAAAATGTATTTTTATTCCATTTTGACCACCATTAAGCTTATGCAAAATAGTCTGTAAACCAACATCGTCAGTATTTCACTACGTTCCTCCTCTCATATCCATCCGCAATACAGTACAGTTGTGACGCGTGTCTATTTCATGTTACGCAATGAAATGTGTGTAATGTACACTACTTTCTGCAGGAACTTTGTGCGAACCTACCGTTGCCTGACGCAATGTCTAGAGTAGATAACAGGATGCTATGCACATATTGCAACAGACTTACTTCCTGTTGGCGTAATCTGAGGTCACATTGGTCAAAGCTCTCCGTGGTTTCCTCCAGCTGGAACCAGGATGCCGTTGTACAAAGCTAAGGTGATCGTAACTCCCTGAACATAGACTTACCATAGTCGTAGCGGCGCTAAGGTCATCGTAACTCCCTGAACATAGACTTACCATAGTCGTAGCGGCGCTAAGGTGATCGTAACTCCCTGAACATAGACTTACCATAGTCGTAGCGGCGCTAAGGTGATCGTAACTCCCTGAACATAGACTTACCATAGTCGTAGCGGCGCTAAGGTCATCGTAACTCCCTGAACATTGACATACCATAGTCGTAGCGGCGCTAAGGTCATCGTAACTCCCTGAACATAGACTTACCATAGTCGTAGCGGCGCTAAGGTGGTCGTAACTCCCTGAACATAGACTAACCATAGTCGTAGCGGCGCTAAGGTGTTCGTAACTCCCTGAACATAGACTTACCATAGTCGTAGCGGAGCTAAGGCGATCGTAACTCCCATACCTTAACATAGACTTACCATAGTCGTAGCGGCGCTAAGGTGATCGTAACTTCCATACCTTTACATAGACTTACCATAGTCGTAGCGGCGCTAAGGTGATCGTAACTCCCATACCTTTACATAGACTTACCATAGTCGTAGCGCTGCTAAGGTGATCGTTACTCACATACCTAAACATAGAGTTACCATAGTCGTAGCGGCGCTAAGGTGATCGTAACTCCCATACCTTAACATAGACTTACCATAGGCGTAGCGGCGCTAAGGTGATCGTAACTCCCATACCTTAACATAAACTTACCATAGTCGTAGCGGAACTAAGGCAATCGTAACTCCCATACCTTAACATAGACTTACCACTGTCGTAGCGGCGCTAAGGTGATCGTAACTCCCATACCTTAACATAGACTTACCATAGGCGTAGCGGCGCTAAGGTGATCGTAACTCACATACCTTAACCTAGACTTACCATTGTCGTAGCGGCGCTAAGGTGATCGTAACTTACATACCTTTACATAGACTTACCATTGTTGTAGCGGCGCTAAGGTGATCGTAACTCCCATACCTTTACATAGACTTACCATAGTCGTAGCGGAGCTAAGGCGATCGTAACTTACATACCTTAACATAGACTTACCATAGTCGTAGCGGCGCTAAGGTGATCGTAACTTTAATACCTTAACATAGACTCACCATAGTCGTAGCGGCGCTAAGGTGATCGTAACTCCCATACCTTTACATAGACTTACCATAGTCGTAGCGGAGCTAAGGTGATCGTAACTTTAATACCTTAACATAGACTCACCATAGTCGTAGCGGCGCTAAGGTGATCGTAACTTTAATACCTTAACATAGACTTACCAAAGTCGTAGCGGCGCTAAGGTGATCGTAACTCCCATACCTTAACATAGACTTATCATAGCTGCAGCGGCGCTAAGGTGCTGGTTACTCCCATACCTTAACAATAACTTACCATAGTCGTAGCGGCGCTAAGGTGATCGTAACTCCCATACCTTAACATAGACTTACCATAGTCGTAGCGGCGCAAAGGTGATCGTAACTCCTATACCTTAACGTAGACTTACCATAGTCGTAGCGGAGCTAAGGTGATCGTAACTCCCATACCTTTACATAGACTTACCATAGTCGTAGCGGCGCTAAGGTGATCGTAACTCCCATACCTTTACATAGACTTACCATAGTCGTAGCGGCGCAAAGGTGATCGTAACTCCTATACCTTAACGTAGACTTACCATAGTCGTAGCGGAGCTAAGGTGATCGTAACTCCCATACCTTAACATAAACTTACCATAGTCGTAGCGGAACTAAGGCAATCGTAACTCCCATACCTTAACATAGACTTACCACTGTCGTAGCGGCGCTAAGGTGATCGTAACTCCCATACCTTAACATAGACTTACCATAGGCGTAGCGGCGCTAAGGTGATCGTAACTCCCATACCTTAACATAGACTTATCATAGCTGCAGCGGCGCTAAGGTGCTGGTTACTCCCATACCTTAACAATAACTTACCATAGTCGTAGCGGCGCTAAGGTGATCGTAACTCCCATACCTTAACATAGACTTACCATAGTCGTAGCGGCGCAAAGGTGATCGTAACTCCTATACCTTAACGTAGACTTACCATAGTCGTAGCGGAGCTAAGGTGATCGTAACTCCCATACCTTTACATAGACTTACCATAGTCGTAGCGGCGCTAAGGTGATCGTAACTCCCATACCTTTACATAGACTTACCATAGTCGTAGCGGCGCAAAGGTGATCGTAACTCCTATACCTTAACGTAGACTTACCATAGTCGTAGCGGAGCTAAGGTGATCGTAACTCCCATACCTTAACATAAACTTACCATAGTCGTAGCGGAACTAAGGCAATCGTAACTCCCATACCTTAACATAGACTTACCACTGTCGTAGCGGCGCTAAGGTGATCGTAACTCCCATACCTTAACATAGACTTACCATAGGCGTAGCGGCGCTAAGGTGATCGTAACTCACATACCTTAACCTAGACTTACCATTGTCGTAGCGGCGCTAAGGTGATCGTAACTTACATACCTTTACATAGACTTACCATTGTTGTAGCGGCGCTAAGGTGATCGTAACTCCCATACCTTTACATAGACTTACCATAGTCGTAGCGGAGCTAAGGCGATCGTAACTTACATACCTTAACATAGACTTACCATAGTCGTAGCGGCGCTAAGGTGATCGTAACTTTAATACCTTAACATAGACTCACCATAGTCGTAGCGGCGCTAAGGTGATCGTAACTCCCATACCTTTACATAGACTTACCATAGTCGTAGCGGAGCTAAGGTGATCGTAACTTTAATACCTTAACATAGACTCACCATAGTCGTAGCGGCGCTAAGGTGATCGTAACTTTAATACCTTAACATAGACTTACCAAAGTCGTAGCGGCGCTAAGGTGATCGTAACTCCCATACCTTAACATAGACTTATCATAGCTGCAGCGGCGCTAAGGTGCTGGTTACTCCCATACCTTAACAATAACTTACCATAGTCGTAGCGGCGCTAAGGTGATCGTAACTCCCATACCTTAACATAGACTTACCATAGTCGTAGCGGCGCAAAGATGATCGTAACTCCTATACCTTAACGTAGACTTACCATAGTCGTAGCGGAGCTAAGGTGATCGTAACTCCCATACCTTAACATAAACTTACCATAGTCGTAGCGGAACTAAGGCAATCGTAACTCCCATACCTTAACATAGACTTACCATTGTCGTAGCGGCGCTAAGGTGATCGTAACTCCCATACCTTAACATAGACTTACCATAAGCGTAGCGGCGCTAAGGTGATCGTAACTCACATACCTTAACCTAGACTTACCATTGTCGTAGCGGCGCTAAGGTGTTGGTAACTTACATACCTTTACATAGACTTACCATAGTCGTAGCGGCGCTAAGGTGATCGTAACTCCCATACCTTTACATAGACTTACCATAGTCGTAGCGGCGCAAAGGTGATCGTAACTCCTATACCTTAACGTAGACTTACCATAGTCGTAGCGGAGCTAAGGTGATCGTAACTCCCATACCTTAACATAAACTTACCATAGTCGTAGCGGAACTAAGGCAATCGTAACTCCCATACCTTAACATAGACTTACCACTGTCGTAGCGGCGCTAAGGTGATCGTAACTCCCATACCTTAACATAGACTTACCATAGGCGTAGCGACGCTAAGGTGATCGTAACTCCCATACCTTAACATAAACTTACCATAGTCGTAGCGGAACTAAGGCAATCGTAACTCCCATACCTTAACATAGACTTACCACTGTCGTAGCGGCGCTAAGGTGATCGTAACTCCCATACCTTAACATAGACTTACCATAGGCGTAGCGGCGCTAAGGTGATCGTAACTCACATACCTTAACCTAGACTTACCATTGTCGTAGCGGCGCTAAGGTGATCGTAACTTACATACCTTTACATAGACTTACCATTGTCGTAGCGGCGCTAAGGTGATCGTAACTCCCATACCTTTACATAGACTTACCATAGTCGTAGCGCTGCTAAGGTGATCGTAACTCACATACCTTAACATAGACTTACTAAAGTCGTGGCGGCGCTAAGGTTATTTTGTACAACGAGGTCCAGGGTGCCGTTTCACTAAAGACTTTTCGCGATACGATCTCCTAAACTACGTTGTAAACCACATCTTATTACTCTTAAAGCCGTTTCACAAAGCGGCGTCATTAAATGCTTTGCGACATTGTTACGAGGCTTTCTTACAGCGGTCGTAAGGCGAGTGTCAATGTTGTAGCGCTAAGAGGCTTTCGAGAATCAGCACTAAGGGCGGGTCTTTATTCGTTGGTTGAAATTAGCGACTAGCCACAAAGGGGGTGTATGTATTCATGGGTGATAGTGTTTGTTTGTTTGTTTGTTTGTTGTTTTACGCTGCACCAGCTAGATGACGGCAGTCTGTAATTAATCGAGTCTTGACCAGACAATTCAGTGATCAACATCATGAGACTCGATCACGCAATTCGGATACGATGACATGGATCAACCAAGTCAGCGACCCTGACCACCCGATCCCGTTAGTCGCCTCTTACGACAAGCATAGTCGCCTTTTACGGCAAGCATGGGTTGCTGAAGACCTATTCTAACCGTATCTGCACGGGTCTGGTGATAGGGGAAGGTGGTGCAGACAAACCTGTGAAGTCTTGACGATGGTAAATCAATGATTCAAACCCGAGGCCTGGACGTTCACATCCACGTGTGTGTGTGTGTGTGTGTGGGGGGGGGGGGGGGGGGGGGGGACAGAACACTGGTCAGGAAACAATTGGAAGTCCCCTGTCATAGCCACGGACCAAAAGGACTCTGAGAAGTCTAGCACTCCTACAGTGTATACCCACCTGGAGGCCGAGTGAGATGGACATCACGTCCAGGACCCGATGGGCTAGCTGTGTGACGTGGGTGAAGAAGTTCGAAAAACCAGCTTCCATACCCGGGACACTGTCAGGGTATTTCTGAAACAAGTGGACATATCTTAAGGTGAAACATGAACATCTCCTAAGACACATCACAAATCGTAGTGGTATGACTGCAGAGCTCCAGATAACTTTTTGAGCAATTGAGTTTTTACTCTAGCGTTTCTGTTTTAATTGGGTTATTACATTTTTCATTGGGTAACCAATATTTTTTCACTTGTGTATTCATCACTCTATTGGGTTTTCCCCAAATTATTGAATATTTTAAGATCTAAAAAACCCGATGTTTTAGATGTATATAACTGTTCTACATATATAGGCTTGACCCGGAAAGTAAATTAGCTTGTAATTGTGTTTCGGAAGTTAACTCCTTTGTACGCATCCTGAAAAAGCTTCATGGGTATTTACGCAAGCTGTTTTATACATTAATGTTTTTCGTTTAATGCATGCGTTTCTGTTCACAAGTTAACTGAAAGTAATTTGGTTTTGAATATTGTTTTATGCAAATACGCTGCGTATCTGTAGCTCTGGGCTGTCGTAAGTCTATGTTCAAGTATATGCTTTGCGAATGACAGTCGATCGCTTTGTGAAACAGGGCCCTCGACCTTTACAAGAACCGATGTAGTGAGTGAGTGAGTGAGTGTGGCTCTATAACGATACGTTTATCACGACACATTATACAAGTAAAGGGTTGGTTGGTTGGTTGGTTGTTTAACGCTGCACTCAGCAATATTCCAGCTATATGACGGCGGTCTGTAAATAATCGAGTCTGAACCAGACAATCCAGTGATTGACATCATGAGCATCGATCCACGCAATTGGGATCGATGATATGCATCAAGCAAGTCAGCGAGCCTGACCACCCGATCCCGTTAGTCGCCTTTTACTTGATGCTTGTCATCGTATACCACAATTACGTGGATCGATGTTCATGATGTCAATCACTGGATTGTCTGGTCCAAACCCGATTATTCGATTATTTATATACCGCCGTCATATAGCTGGAATATCGCGGTTTAAACCAAAAGAATATATACATAATGCAAGTGGCATCTATGTATTGTTTGTTTGTGTTGAGGCAAACTAAGCAATTTTTCAGTCGTGTGGCGCCGGACGTAAACAATCGAATCTGGATCAGACAAACCAGTGATTTATATTTTTAACAAATTCCCACGCTCCGGATTGCAATGATGACATGCAGCCCACCAAATTAACGAGCCTGACAACCCGAGCCACTGATTGGCCTCAAACAATCAGCAAAGGTTGCTTGAGACCTTTCGAAAACAATCCAAATACTACAATACATGTGGACATTAGGAGGCCCTTGCTATTCTTGGGTGGGTGTGGCATTACGTGGTCAAAGCCGTCTGGCAATCAAGCAAGCCTATTCCACAACCTTTGTGAGCGCTTCACTGCAATGAATGTTTGGCATTCGTGACCAACTCGTGTTATTCCGGGACAAGCCGAAGAGCTCTTGTTGCAGGCTACGGAGAGGGGCAAGTGGTGACGAACGGAATGTTTGGTTCGTACTTACAATGTTGAGGTGATCGTCACATGATGAATAATTAAAGGTCTCCTTCAGATCCCCCGGCCTCGACGGAGTCAGCCTGGAACATAAGGCAATCAACGTGACCAGCAGAACAACGCATGCACTGAGGAGATAGTACTGGAGAACTAGTGTGAAGAACTATAGTGTGTGTGTGTGTGTGTGTGTGTGTGTGTGTGTGTGTGTGTGTGTGTGTGTGTGCTTGTACTAGTCCGGACTAATGCCGATTTTATAGTGCTAGCCCACTGGGACACCATGCCGCAGTTTAACTTGAGTACTCCACTCAGAAACAGTACACTGACTCCGAGCCGACCGCTCCTTGTTTTAGACACTTAATGCCGAGAAGTACCATATTTTTACGTCTTTTGGTATGACGCGGGCCGGGAATCGAACCCCCGACCTCCCACTCTCCGGACATCCGGACGGACGCTCTACCACTAGACCACGGAGGCGGTCGTGTCGCAGGGATACTCACCCACTCAGGCACAGCATACTGTCTTCGAGTTCTTGTTTTATCCCCTTGATACCGGGAGCCAGGCAGGTAACAACAAGTACCATCTTTAAACGTATTTTGGTATGACGCGGCCAGGGGATCGAAACATTGACCTTTTGCTCATCGGGCAGACGCTCTATCCACTAGACCACGGACTCAAAATAGAGGTGTACTCACACATAGAGTGTATATTCACTAACTGTGTCAGCTGGTCTTTTAATTATTCAGCCAGAAGGATAACGCAAAACTAATTCACCAAACATAAGACAGAGAGAAACGGGCAACCAAGGGAGATTACCAAGGGAGAATGGGTCGATACCCGTTGTGATATATCGGCAAAGAGTACTACCAACACAAATCGCTTAATATTATTAAGGGGCAATTAGGAGACAAACTTCATGCTTTTGCAGTATCGCGGGTTTTATTGAGTATTTGGTGACCAAACATTTCATTTGAAACGGACGGATAACGCCATGAAATTGCTGGACATGCGAATAAAACCAAATCAGAAAACAGATGTTTATGTCCTGAATGACTAGATTAACCACTGACACTATCTGCGTGGCACTTAGACATAAACAGCTCATGTAGAAAAGATTTGAGGCGTTATTCTGTTCGATGAAGTAATCACTTAGTTATATATATATCTAGCTCAGATACTTGCCGTTCCTTCTCGAGTGCTTGGTAGCCATTAAATCTACCAGTCGGAGACTCACACGCCTCCTTCACGTCCCTCGGTTGACTGAAGAAGGTTTTCGAAACCCTAAAAAAGTCATCGACCTAAAAAACATAAATTGACACAAATTCGTACTTTTCAGACATACCAAGACCAGGTTGCCGTCATATTTACGTTTCCTGTCCTTAATAAGCAAACTCATATACCAGATAAAAGCAATCTGGGATCATGAATACTTCGGGGGTATTTAATTATGAAATTGTATGCTCAGTCTTCACAACAAAAAATATCCCCAAAGATATGCATGATCCGTCACTGTTTTTGTTAAGTATGAATGACAGTGAAAGACGTTGAATGACATTGAATGACAGTTTTACAAGGACACACATATGTTCATATATCTAAGACAAGTTACATTTGCAAGATTTGTTTGTTTGTTGTTTAACGCCGCACTCAGCGATATTCCAGCTATATGACGGCGGTCTGTAAAATAATCGAGTCTGGACCAGACAATCCAGTGATTGACATCATGAGCATCGATCCGCGCAATTGGGATCGATGACATGTATCAACCAAGTCAGCGAGCCTGACCACCCGATCCCGTTAGTCGCCTTTAACGACAAGTATGGGTTGCTGAAGAATACTACTATCACCGCATTTGCAAGACAACTGAGTCATCTGATACATATTCCAAATTGTTATACCTTTTACGTACCTTAAAAGATAACACTATCTCCTGTCAACACAGTCCTGTTATCTGCCAATAGTCCCTTACGTTACCTAACACACCCAGCACGTCAACACATTGACGTCGTGCACATGGGTCCCACGCTCGGCCGCGCCTTTTTCCATATAAGGCACATACGCGAGAATGAGAATAAACAAAACCAAACCACACGAGATTATATAGTAACTCTAAACAGCATTCGTGACCAACTCGTGTTATTCCGGGACAAGCCGAACAGCGACTCGTGCCCCTCTCGTGGCCATTTATGCGACCGGGTTCCGTCTTAGCGAAAACGGGCATACCTAAAACAATTGTCAACTCGTTGCGTAATGGTTCACATATATTTCCCCATTTATGATATATATTTTAGATGCAACGTAAAGCACATCGGGACAAGTGTAATTATACATTATGATTGAACACATTTAACTGTGTCTTGGGTATATTTTTAGATGCAAGACGTGTAAAATAAAAAAATATTCCTGATTGATTCTTTGACGAACAACTTGAAGTCATTCTGATTGGTTTGTCGTATTTCGCACATAACATTCATCGATAGGGGGACGAGTCTCCTTGCAGGTTACGGAAAGGGGCGAGTGGTGACGAATGTCTTAACAGGTGCGCATGAATTGTAAATCTGGTTGTGGCGTCGACAACTACAATGACAACGAAGGATCAAGCTGCCTTTGCTTAAGTGTCAGAACAGGTCTCCAAAGGAAACAATGGCCACGGGGTCCCAGTGAGGATCATCGATATTTTGTCACTTATTAATAGTAGTAGGAACGTAACTGTTAAGTTACTGCTTGTATCATCAGTTGAATCATTGCTATTCAACACCAAAAAGAAACCTTGCTGATGTCATTCTAACACTTAACCCTGAGTTGACATGTTCAAGCCTTTAGAGTATAAATAGTTTCCTCTGCTGTTAATCCTCCACCTACTATATATATTCTGTAATATGTCCCTCATTCAGTCTTGCTTGACAACGGTATAAGGATCTATACCGAAGCGTCGCTTTTCACAGTATTAAAGAAGTTGTTATCCATAAAATTGTGTCTATCTTGTCATCCGTCAACTTCTAAGTAATGCCTATCAAACAATATATAACTAGTTTATTCAGTGTAAGTCTACGTGCACTTTATGCTTATGTGATCTCGGGTTTTCTTTCAGTTTGATTATATCACTTCTTACTTTTACTATTAACGTACTCACAGAGGTCCCGTTGATTTGACGAGACTGGTGTTTACATTATCCAAAAACAGATTTGTACCACCGTCTTTTGTTCTTTTTTTTCTTCTGCTGCTGTCTGTGAACATTTTTTTCGTTTTTGTTTGTTGTTTAACGCCGCACTCAGCAATATTCAAGCTATATGACGGGGGTCTGTAAATAATCGAATTTGTGCCAGACTATCCAGCGAGTCTGATCACCCGATCCCGTTGGTCGCCTCTTACGACAAGCATAGTCGCCTTTTACGGCAAGTTTGAAGACCTATTCTACCCCGGATCTTCACAGGCTGCTTGTTAACTGAAAGCGCTAAGCCTACAAGTGCGCCAACCAGCAGTGGAGCCGGTAGACTATGTAGACTTGATCATAGTCTCTTCGGAAGTGCGGTAGCACCCACGTGGGAATTTGAAGCAGTTGAACATAGAAACCCAAGGCTACCACACCTTATTTTGTTAAAGCACAGAAGCTGGTATAGTTTCTACATGTTGAGGGGCACGGTTGGCCCTGCCGTCTGAGGAGCCGCAATTCGCTGTACAGAGTTGCATCCCCTAGGTGCATCAGTAACCAATAACCGTGAGTCCGAATCCGAGCTCGCTCCGATTATGTATCTGGGTTCGTCAGCACCATACCCGGGGTTTCACCAAAGAGGAGACCTACATTAGGCTGACACGCCCTGATATAAATGGAATATTGTTCAAAATGGCATCAAACTCAACGCTTTCCGTCACTCCATTTTGATATAAACGAAAGTGGCGGAGCTTCTATTGAGACGCTGTATTACATGTGTTCCTAATCGCTGTAGGAAGCTATAACTATAGCTATATATGGTCAGTTGAAACTGGGACTTGTAATTCGACAAGGGAGCGCCCCAGAACCCAATACCATACAGCCCCGGTGCCTTTGCTCGACATCGACCTCATGTCATGTAGTATCGAGTTTCTTGGTGACTCAGCGGAACGTCAGGCAATCAGTACTCTAATACAATTATTGCATTCGACTCGACTGCTTCTCAATTACACCCAGTGGGGATCGGTAACATAAGAGGTGCCGGGCACTCTGTGATGTTAGTTTGTTTATTTGTTATTTAACGCCACACTCAGCAATATTCTAGCTTTTTGACGGCAAATAATTGAGTCTGGGCAAGACGGTCCAGTGGTTGACATCATGAGCATCGATCCACACAATTGGGATACGATGACATGCTTCAACCAAGTCAGCGAGCCTGCCCACCCGCTCCCGTTAGTCGCCTATTACGACAAGCATAGTCGCCTTTCACTGCAAGCATGGGCTGCTGAAGACCTATTCTACCCCGAATCTCCACGGGTCCTGTGATGTTTAAAGTAAGTTAGGCTAAGTGACTTGGAAGATAGCGATACATAACGCTCGGGACTTGCTCATAATATACTGGACCGCAAAAGAAACGTCACCATGGATAGATGTATGAGAAACCTTATTTGTCCAAACACTGTAAACATATTTGGAGACATATTAAAGAGATAAAACTTGGCAAAACTGATCATCAAGGCTAAAAATTAAAGTATCAAATGTTCTTAAAGTGGATACATGGAATGGATGAGGCGGTTGATGAAGGCCATAGGCACTTAAGCCCACACTCTGAGGAACGCCTGACGCAGTTCAGCTGCAGTTGTCGGCCTTGGTCGGACGTCATTCAGCCGTCTTTGAATCTCGTCCCACAGGCGCTTAATGGGATTTAAATCGGGACCGAGGGCAGGCCACTGCATGGTTCTGATTCCATTCCGCTGGAGGAAGTCTCTTGTTGCTCTCGCAGTGTGGGCACGGGCGTTATCATGCTGAAATCCGTGGTTTAAATTTAACATTTGAAACCTCACGCTGCGCGTTCGGTTCCAAATTCAATTTAGCGGGGTTAAATCTACAGGTAACCTAGCTCTACATTGAAAACATTGAAAACACAGTATGTTTATCTCCTAATTGTCCAGGTATCGGGGACGGTCTGTGGCTTGTAACCTCCATGAGCGTAGCTGTTAACATTAACATGATCTAATACAATGATATTCTCAATAGGTCGGCCATCCCATCGTGTCCATGCGTACACTGAATAGTGTTACATGCTATTAGGATAACGAATAGTCACCTTGTTGTACTGTGAATGCAATCTAAATTCAAATGTGGGTATATTCCGAGTGAAAGGCTCAGTCATTATATTGCTTGGACGACTTCACGTCAAAACGACTGTATCGTCATGAACAATAGATGACGTCATGTTGATTATTTAGGACGAAGCGTAAATATGACGTCATTTCGTACGGATTCTTCGCAAACAGTGCAATCAACACACTCCGGCGCAGTGTTGACTTAGCATAACACCACATTCGGGACAAGCCGAATAGCGCCTCGTTCCCCTCTCATGGCCATTTCACCAAAAAATACCCATACATTATATATATTTCAGATGCAATTTGAAGCACATCGGTATGTGCGGAATTATACAGTCAGTATGATTGAACACATTTAACTGTGTCTTGGGTATATTTTTAGATGCATGACATGTGTAATCAAAAATTATTTCTGAGGGATTCTTTGACGAATAACTTGAAGTCATTCTGATTGGTTTGTCGTATTTTCGCACATAACATTCATCGATAGGGGGACGAGTCTTCTTGCAGGTTACGGAAAGGGGCGAGTGGTGACGAACGCATGACACCACTGCCACAGGTTAATTTGCATATCACGTGACCGGACTTTTCTCTTGTTTATAAGCAAACGCGCTTTTTCAGAAATCAGAATAGAACGGACTAATGCAAGTATTTGGTTGGGATTTGCATATTGGTTGGCATAATCTAATATAATAGCTAATGCAGCTATAGTCTGAATCAGTTTCCTCTGGTCTGTATCGATTTACGTTTAAATCCAAATATCGCATATAATTCAGCAATGAATGCACGATAGGTTATGTGGCCTTATCGGTATGTGCTGGCCTGGGTGATGATCAAACAGTAGTGTGCAATAACTATCGGCACATGCCACGTGTTTATTAATAACTTGCTGCAACTAATACAGTTTATATAATGCAAGTATCGACACATTACTAATGGTTATTGCGCACTATAGATCCACGCTGTTAGTATCGACTACTACGATATAGTACATCAAAACCTAATCAACTAAGTCATTCCGTCTGACCACTCGGTCCATTTAGTCGCCTTTAACGACCAGCATAGGTTGCTGGGGACCTATTCTCACCCAGAATCCCCCGGGGGTCTTAACACCAACATTTTAAAATTAATCCTCGGCAGTCCTTTTAAGACCAGGTTACGCGTGTAACCACTTCCCTTCTGTATATCTATATTTATATATTTAACAACTTCTATTTTAACACCCTCCCCCGAAAAAATTTACAAAATAAATAAACATAAATAAATGTGAAACCCTTATGTACATTGATCAAATGCGTTTGTTATTAATTCCCACTGATATAAAACATAGGAAATGATTTAAGGCGCTTTGTCTGAAGACTTTTTACCTCGTTTTCAAAACGAAATCGGATTATCAAAATACTTTAGCTACTTTGTAACGTTTTATCAGTAGTACATATATAATCAGAAGATCTGAATGACATGCAATAATAATGTTGGTCAACATAATGACGCATGTTATACACTGAAGTAAGGAGAATGCGTCCAACCCAACCTGTCCACACGCTAGCACATCCGGGAAATCAATAGCTATCCAACAGCCATTTAGATAATAATCGACAATGTGTAATTAACAACGCATGACCATGTAGTGCTACTCGGGTCAGGTAAACAAGGCCGATCGCGAGTCGCCACGAGACTATAAATCTAGACTGGGAATACATCTGGATATTTCTCGAAACGCCGATCTCCCAATGCACCGCGTATATGAACCCAGTCAAATTGTAAAGGAGTGTGGTGGCCTGTTGTAAATCTGTACATGCGTGGGAACCAAATGACTGAATGTTGGCCAATATTGCTGTATAGATACATGTCATATCGGCTACTGCTTCCACAAACGGGCGTTAAGAACGTGTTTTGAAAGCACATTAGTTCCGCTAGCGATACATTTTCCGCCTACGAAAACCAGACCAAAATGAAACTGAAAGTTCAAACATATATTGAAATATTAACTCCGACGTGCAAATCGATAACAAGAAGTTTCATAATAAACAGTAGCTTCTAAATACAATGTTATGAAACTCTGTGGCTATAGAGACGAGGGCTGTAGCGTAGGGCTGCAGTGCAGACGATCCGACATGTGCGGGATTCGTTCGTATCGAGGAAGTGCAACCTACCTTGTCTTGGGAGAGTCCGTGGTTCTTTATGTAACAAAATCCAACTGTACTTAAGGCATTATAAAAACTGTCTGCAAGTGTCTCCAAATCTGAATCTGAAACAGATTCGGGGTCACTAATCTGCAATCGGTAGGCAGCGAAATCTATGACCGGCACTTTATCAGCCATCGCGTCAGAATGAAGGGAGGTAACTCTATTGTTTACGTCTTTATATAGACACGAGTCATGACACTGGATACATGCAGCGGCATGTCATAGAAAATTAGTAATCAGCGTGGCTAGTGACTCAGCATAATGTATACGCCTGCAATATTGAAATAGAATGAGTGAGTATGGGTTTACGCCGCTTTTAGCAATATTCCAGCAATATCACGGCACCAGATAGGAACACCAGAAATGGGCTTCACACATATTGCGCCCATTTGGGTATTCGAACCCTGGCCTTCAGCGTGACGAGCGAACGCTTTAACCACTAGGCTACCCTACCTCCCCTTATTGAAATGGAAGATCAAAAACATTTTCATGATATGATTTAGGTCTGTTTAAGAAAATATAGACAAATATGTAGGTAAATATTTTATTTTGTTGTATGATACAAACTAACCTCCTCCTTTCAACACTGTACTCCGCTTCTGAGAGTGAATACCAGCATGCCATCTCATGGTAGCGCCAGATTGTGTTTGTGTGTATATTCCTGCATGGCGTTCTGCTGTTGGCAATATATTTCAACTATATCACAGCAGCCTGCGAGTAATGGAGACTGGACCAGAAATATACACTTTGACTGCAAGACCAACGACCCATGCAGGCGGAGCAAGATGCCTCAGTCAATCACAGCATACATGGAAACCACCCAATCCTCAACCGCCAAGGTCATACACGAAAACCACCCAATCCCGAATCGGCCAGGTCATACACGGAAACCACTCAATACCCAATCAGCCAGGTCACACAGTAAAACCATCCAATCCTCAATCAGCCAGGTCATACACGGAAACCACCCAATCCCCAATCAGCCAGGTCACACAGCGAAACCACCCGATCCTCAATCTCCCAGTCCATACACGGAAACCACCCAATCCCCAATCACCCAGGTCATACACGGAAACCACCCAATCCTCAATCACCCAGGTCATACACGGAAACCACCCAATCCCCAATCAGCAATGTCATACACGGAAACCACCCAATCCCCAATCACCCAGGTCATACACGCAAACCCCACAATCCTCAATCACCCAGGTCAAACACGGAAACCACCCAATCCCCAATCACCCAGGTCATACACAGAAACCACCCAATCCCCAATCACCAAGGTCATACATGGAAACCACCCAATCCTTAATCACCCAGGACATACACGGAAACCACCCAATCCCCAATCAGCCAGGTCATACACGGAAACCACCCAATCCCCAATCACCCAGGTCACAAATTGAAACCACCCAATCCTCACTAAGCCAGCCCACACATGGAAACCACCTAATTGTTGTACCCTGGACCTCTTTTGCTCAAGTCCGCCCGGAGAACGGAAGGTCCGGGGTTCGATCCCCGGCCGCGTCATATCAAAAGACCTTAAAAGATAATACTTGTTGTTACCCTGTCTGACGCTTGGCATTAAGGGGCTAGCACTATCAATCGGCATCAGTCAGGGCTAGTATATGCAGCCCTACACACACGTGCATGCACGTCGCTATATAATCTTGAGTGAGTGAGTATGGTTTTACGCCGCTTTTAGCAATATTCCAGCAATATCTGGGCAGGGGACACCAGAAATGGGCTTCACACATTTTAAACGTTAAACCCAATATCACCTCACCTCACCTTTTTTTTCTTGCCTCAAGATCCGAAGGTATGATCACCCGATAGTGAATGTACTGCGCACATCACAGCATGTACCTTCTCGATACTGTTAAGCTTCTGTTACAGTTTAATACCTCTTTGTACCGTAACATTTAGTTGTATATAAGCATTATATTTCTATAATTGCACATATACCCAATACATTATGTATGTAGCAATTTCATTCATGGCGAAAAGATATTAGGCATATCTTTATTTGAGGTTTTTGCTAAGTATAAACCCAATTTATGAAGGACAAGATTATCACCTGTTTGCATCAGCAGTGTAAATTGTATAATAGATGGATAATCGGTGTGAAATGGCGAGATGTATTTTCATCTTATAGTGACAAATCGTCCACATATAAACATCGCATGGTATTCATCTTCAATATATATGCTGAAAGTTTTTGGTCAAATAGAAATCGCAAAATCGTTCAGCTGAGTCTAGCTGTACATGTGTCTTCCAAGTTTCACATTTAAACAAAAAGTATTACATCAAACTTTGAAATATAAATCATAATGTAATATCGAATGCCATTTGTTAAATAGCGTTCTGTATTCAACACAGATTTGTGCTGAACAAAGTAATTACATTTCGAAGATAATTCTATTGAAAGACGTCAGTTCTGATTCGGGTTATCTGATAGTCTTTGGGGCGGTCGGGTAGCCTAGTGGTTAAAGCGTTCGCTCGTCACGCCGAAGACCCGGGTTCGAATCCCGACATGGGTACAACGTGTGAAGCCCATTTCTGGAGTCCCCCGCCGTGATATTGCTGGAATATTGCTAAAAGCGGCGTAAAACCAAACTCACTCACTCACTCTGCTATTCTTTGTCGAAATTCATTTGGGAATAATATTATATCACCGATGTCTTGTTGTAACTAGAAACCTTAGCTGAACAAAATGTATGTAGTCCATGTCCCTCTTCCCACCTCATCAAGTGATTTTAGTATTAAGAAGCCTTGACGAAGTAATCTGTGAGTGTCAAGGTGAAGAAGTCTGCACCAATATGTCACTGCTCTTGTCACCTAGATAGACTGCAGAGGGGGTCTGCCAGTCTCCCCCAAGTACCCCATCTTATTAGGTGTATATTATCGAAGAAACCGTTCACAGAAGGATCTTTGGACATTTTCAATTAATTTGATGCCCGATGTTCTCCAAACGTCAAATACTGTCAAATATTTTTAAGGCTTCTTGAAATGATAGGTATCCATTTTTCTTTTGATAGTAGTTGACGAATCTGATTGATTGGTTTGCTTCCATTCCAGTGGATACTTCGAAATTGTCAACATTCAATTTCTTTTGCAGCTGTAAAGCACTGTCCGCAACAAACGATACACCGTCTGCGTAAACTAATGCAAATAGATGTGGTATCTCACTACCAATGAATATGACTGGACCACCATATTTCTCAACATCACTGAGTTCATTTAAAAAGATGGTAAAAAGTGTTGGGCTCAAAACACACCCCTGACGGGTACCGACGTCAACATTACAGTGAAATAATCAGAAACGCCATCTTTTATTCGAAAACATGATGAAAAGTTAGCGCACATATATTGGCTGTAAGCGTATCCCTATCACTCGTGTACACCATGTGTGGATAATGGATAACATTAATTTGTGGAAATGAGACGGATTGGGGATTTAGGGAGTGAGTGAGTTGTGTTTAACGCTGCTTTTAACAGTATTCTAGTTATATCGCGGCGTGTCAGCTTAATGTGGGAGGAAAGCCCCAAGTGATGCGGTCTAAAACGTTTACCACTTCGGTGAAACCCACGAGCACGGGTATGGTGCTGACAAACCTAGAAACATAATCGGGGCGAACCGGGATTCGAACCCACAATCAAAGGTTTCTGGCGTGCCCAAGGGACGCAACTCTGCACAGCGAATTGCGGCGCCTTTGACGACTGGGCCACCCGTGTCCCCTTGGGGAATTAGTATTCAACAGGAAAGCCAATATCATCAACACAAGGGCTCCATGCATCAACGTATGCCATGTTTATTGATTGGATCTGGTTGAGTTCCAGCATAAACTACGTTAAAAAGTAGGAGTCCGTGAATGTAGTAGTGCTGGGCTCACCCTGATGGAAATCGTGATACTAGATCATACATGTATTCAGGCTGTCAATGGTTTTTTTGTTTGTTTTTTTGTTTTTTTATGAAACAAATTGAAATGCACTCAGTGCATTGTAAACCCTGCAAATGGCCTTCCAATCAAGTACTTTTCAACAGCGAGAGAAATTCTGTGCTTAGTTTGTGATTGGAGAGATGGCAATACTGACGTCCCTTCCGAAACAAGGCTATGGTGGCAACTGGCTCCAGGGTGTTTATCGTACCAGATAGATACGCAATACCATGGTTAACCAGTTTGTTTTATATAAGTTCAAATTAATATAATTCAACCCTCAGGCAGTATAAACATTAATAATAAGGAGTGAATTAATATGCTACAGATGTCTCCAAAATTCCCTTCAGGCCATACATAACGGATGCGTTATGTATGTCTTGAGGCTAGTTGGAGCCCCAAAACGCTCGCCTAACAAAGAGATATAATATAATATAATATAATATAAGTTAGTATTTACATATATGAATATGTGTACACAAATCAATTGTTTACTTGATGTTCATGCGTTATTAGTTACTAAGTGTGTCATTAAAGCTTGGTGATCAGTATAATGTTGCTATAGTTTCAAGTAATTCACGTGCTAACTAATAATTGTTATTAACAAAATAAAGTTGACACTCGTGTCATAGTGTTTTAATAGTCCGGGTATAAACTATACTTTATTACACTACATGTACACATGGTGGGAGAGCAAACTTTATTATTTTTCTAGTATGCCGAATTTAAGACTAACATTGTATTTTATAGGGTTTCTTGTTGATTGGTTTCGAGTTCGCCCGGATTATATTTCTAGGTTTGTCAGCACCATACCCGTGGTCGTGGGTTTCACCAAATTGGTAAAGGTCTGAGACCTGCATCACTTCGGACCTTCCTCCCACATTAAGCTGACACGCAGTGATATATATAACTGGAATACTGTTTAAAACGGATGTAAACCCAACTCACTCACTCACTGTAATAAGCGGCACCTTAAAGGGGTCTAAAGCAATTCCCCGGAACTGGTTGTTGCCTTTGTTATTGTTTTTCCCGTGAGTGCCCGGATGATATAGCAGAAACCTCGACTAGTTCGCGACCTGTGCTGCGCAATTCGTAAGCGCATTTGTCACTATAATGATAGTATATGGGCGTATGGTCACATTGATCAACAAAATGACAAGGAAATGTAGGTATTTTTGTGGGTAGCATCGGTAATGGGGGCGAAGTTTTG